ATTTTGTACTCTAGTTTCATAATCTTCGGTTTGTAATTCTCACCTGATACAGCAAACCTAGGGTTTGGCTCCAGCCATGTGGGCCAAAGTACGCTCTAGAAGAAGGAGAGAAACACAGTGAGTCAGGTGTTTTCAACAAAATTACATAAGATGTTTTCCCTAGAGGAGGGAGGACTCAGAGTGTCTACTCCCATCAATGTAAATCCCCCTCTTCTCCCCATAAAATATTTATCCTAATATACTTTCATGTTTAATAAAACATATCCCCCTATCGGATTGCCAGATTCGATGCAGAGTACTTAATAAAATTTGAATTGCAGTATAAGTCTTATACAGTCTTTGGGCCATGCTTATGATAAAGGAATTATTTCAAGTTTAGTTGGGTTTCCTAACTTTCTCCTTTTGCAGTGTGTGTATGGGTGGTATGGTGTGGTGTTGTTCTTGACACTGCGGCAACTGAAACAGGGTCTTACTGAAGGCTAGGCCTGAGTCTACTTTTCTTTTTTTCTTTAAGCATTATTATTTATTACAATTTATTCACTTGTATCCTGCTGTAGCCCCCTCCCTCCTCTCTTCCCAGCCGCCGCTCCCTCCCTCTCTGATTCAACTTTTCATAACCATATTCTTCTTAAATCAGGCATCCTGCTTCGTCATTGCCATCTTATGGGCATTTTCTAGTCCTGTTGGATGACGCTGCTTAGGAATATTTTCCTCCTGTCACCGGCATCTTCATCTCTCTTACTAGTGATTCTTTGCTATGTCCTTTCATTAGTGAGCCCTATAGCACGTTTTGACTCTTGGGTTTTAGATAATTACAAATGGCTGAGTGTCCCAATTAAGTATCAGCATTTTCCAACAGTTATTTGCCCACACACAAGCCAGTCTTTGAGTGATGAAAATGGATGTCAAAAATTCCATATCCCAAACACTCATTTTACATATCCATAGAGGTTCATATTGGGCTTCTGCCAAAACTTGCAAGATTTTTCATAGAATTCCTTTGTTTCAAAGATTTATTTTATTTATAATTATGTGTGTATGTGAAGGAGGTAGCAACGTGCACATGTGAATACATATGCCTGTGGAGTCCAGATGGGGTTGCCAGAACCCCTGGAGAGGGAGTTACAAGTGGTTATGATCCACCTAACAAGGGCCTCTGAAAAAGCAATACTCGCTCTTTACCACTGAGCCTTGTCTTTCCAGCCCCTGAATTCATTAGTGTTTTTATACTAGTGTTTTTATATTGGCAGATCACAGCAGAATAGAAGCAGAAGGTTTAGGGAACCATTTGAGTTTAGGAGCAAAGGCAATAATGGAAAATATGTCAACAGGATAGCCATGCTACATGGTATAACCCCATTGCAAGAATCCAAATGAAAGTCCCAACCATGATGACAACAGCAGCAACAGAGTAGAGTGGGGAGACAGGGAAACGGGAAGCAAACACTAGCTCTTGGAGCCCTGGGGCCTCTGTGTTCAGGACAAACAGCTCTGGTTGCTGATGGGTTCTCTGGAGGCACAAAAGAGGCAACGTTCAGTGTCATGGAGCCATTAAATCATCCAGTGGAAGGGGGATTTGGAACCATTTAGGCAGTAGAAAGAGATACCTAATTAACCTCATTAAAAGACAGACCATATTAATGGTTCCTGTTACTTAGATACAAGGTCACTGGCTTTATGAACTGTTGATTTCAGGTACTCAGGTCACGTTATTGTAAAGATTTCTCCTTGATATTGTTCTTTCTGTTTTAGAGATAAGTTCTCTCTGTAACCTAGGCTAACCTCAAACTCGCAATGCTCCTGCTTCCAGTACCCAGAGCGTTGAAATTACAGATATATTCTGGCATGCCTCTCATGGAAAACTTTTCTCTTGATCTGTTTATATCTGTTTTTATGTCGTGACTGCTTTGTTCTGTGTCTGAGGTTTTTCTGGGGCACGCATGTCTTTATTGTGGCAAGAATGGTCAATAGCTATAAGTGGCAAGCATTTGCTTTCCTTGTTTGAGACAGGATCTTGCGATGTAGCCTACCCTTATACCACTTATACACTGGTGCTGAGGGTTGCAGGCATGCGTTACAATACTCAACTGAGGCATATAATGTAAAGCCCAGTGACAGCCGGGACTTAGAGAAAAAGCTTCAGGTTTGCCCTGTCTAAATTACATGCTCATTCACAAACCAAACAGAGCCTGAGAAATAAATAGCATGCTATCATTGGTTAACCCCATATCACATGCTGGAGCTGAGCCCAATCACATATGAGGTGCTTGAATTGATAGTGGATGATGGGTGGTTTTCCCAAAGGAAAGTGAGAGTGCAATTTAGCAGGAAAAAAAGTAGAAGAAAATAGGGTATAGGGCATACAGGAATTTCAACATCTACCATAAAGAAATCACGTGGTCATTTACGTGTTCAAAACCCATCTTTTACAAGTGTGAAAAAAAATGAGATTCCAGGTAGGTGGATGGCTTTGAGATTGGATCATTTAACACGTGTGAGAATGTTTATTTAGTACAACAGTAAGCATGAGCTACAAATTCACTTGGGCTCATTATCTTTCTTCTAGGTTGTTACCACATCTTGGAGCTGTCCTTACTCCCCATCTCTATTGCCTAGGCCCTTGCAGAGCCTGAGTCCATGGGTCTTTCCTTCTCAGGCCTCTCTAAGGTCTTGAAGTCTTCAGTAGTCAGTGATTATGTTAGTTCACTGAGCCTATGTGTTAGTTCACATGGCGAAATAGACTGCGTGGCTTAGAATTTTATCTGGAGTCTAGGAGCCTAGTCCTGGAGCCTAGAAATGCAAGATCAAGGTGCATTGTTCTCTTCTGAGGCATCCTTGTTGTGCAGATAATGGCATTCTCCCTGCGCCTTCATATGCCTATGCTCTGGTTTGCTGCCACAGTGAATAAGGGCCCACTCTCCAGACCCTTGTATATGCAGGGTAAGTTTTCTGCCTCTGACCTCTATCTCCAGTTCCTAATTCCATCCTAGAAATCCATTCCCCGAAAACAGAGTCACAGAACACTTGCAATTACAGTCACCTGAGGAGGCATTTATGCATTTGAGGGGAACACAGTTTGGTTTTTGGTGGTGGAATAGCAAAGAACACCTAAGCCTCAGAGATTTCACTCGAGTATACTCCCACTTGGGACAACTTTTGCGATATTAAAACCTGTTCAAAATGGGCAGAGTGATGCATACTATCAACCTAACCCTTGGAGGACAGAGGCAGGAAGAACATGAGCTCAGGTAGCCCTGAGCTCCTTAGATACCCAGTGTGTTTGAGGCCAGTGTGGGCTTAAGAGACTCTGCTCCCCTCCCCAAAAAGACTGCTGGTGTAGGTCGGTGCTTGCCTGGCATATAAAAAATCTGGCATGGTGGTACATACCTGTACTCTTCGAACTTGGGAGGGAGAGGCAAGAGGCTCAGAAGTTCAAGATCATCCTTAGCTGCACATGGATTTGGAGAGTAATCTAAAATACATGAGACCTTGTATTTAAAAAACTAGATAAGAATAAGATCTCTCTCTCGAACTCTTTCTCCCTCCCTCTCTCTCTCTCTGCCTCTTTCCCTCTCTCCCTTCCTCCTTCCCTCTCTCCCTCTGTCTCTGCCCCTCTGCCTCTCTTCCTTCCTCTTCCTCCCTTTTTTCCCTCTCCCTCCTTCCACTCCCACCTGGGGCTCTCTTTCTCTCTCTCTCTCTCTCTCTCTCACACACACACACACACCTCTCACCAGGCTTTCTCTCATCTACACATGTTAGGCACACACTTTTCCATTGAATACCACACCCCTAGCTCTTTAGCATCTGTCATTAGAACTATCCCTGTGATAGTTCTGCTCTGTTGGGTTTCTGCCTGGACCACCGATCCCCAAATCTCAACCCAGCCAAGGATAGAAACTTTATCTAAGCTCTCCACTTTGCAGATGTTGGGTGGGGGGTGGGAAGCCCTTAAATCACTTGTCAGTTCTTTATGAGGCATTCTCCTGCCCCAAGACTGTTCAGCACCCTTCAGAACATGCATTATGAAGCATAGAGGTCAGGTGAATGGATTGTATAAGGTGACCTTGTGGGTCACTGATTCAAATCCTTCATTTGAGAAATAAGAAGGAAATGCAAGGATGATTTTAAAAAAAGTCAATGGCAGAAAACTTAAAGAAAACATCGGTCCGTAATTCTTTTGTGAAGTCATGAAAGGGGAGGGCCAAGCTCCCACAAACCACTAGTTCCTCTACACTAATTCACCAGCCTGGAAGTGAGCTTTTTTTTTTTTTTTTTTTCTCCTTGACTTTTCATTTATCCAGCCCTAGTTGGAGGCAGCTTGATGGACTCAGGGACAACAACAGGCCTCGGATCCCATTTTCGTGACTTGTTAGCTGTGTGGGTTTAGACAGGTCATTTAACCGTAGGACCTCAGACTCTGCCGTAAAAGAATGAGGCCGTTCTGATTTCTGATGGACTGCTGTGAGCATTCCATGTGTTAGCCACTGTAAAGTGCTCAGATCAGCTTGTGGAAGCTAATAAGCCCCACAAGATTAACTATAGCAAATTAGGTGCGTAGCACATGCCAGTATTCTGAGGCGGATGCTTGAAGATGCAGAATTTGAGGTCCCCCTGGGATGCACATCAAGCTTGAGACTGGTCTGGGCTTCATGAGACCTTGTCTCAAAAACAAGCCAACCATCGGACAAAAGCAGAGTTATGGTCCCTACTGGAGGAAAAATGCCCCCCAAAGGCAAGCTTGTTTGTGCATATTTCTGATGCCTAAAAGTCTCTTAACTGGTGGGTCATGGGCATGCAGGAATCTTTGTCATGAATGAGTGAATGAATGCACATATGTCATGCGAATGCAAACGTGGAGGACTGTGAGTGATCGCTGGTGAAGAGAGGGCTCTGTCTGGGTGGAAATCTCCATCTTGTTTACTGATTTCTCCGTGGGATTGGCTGGTTTGGTAATTCCCGACACCACCCACATTCCTCAAGCCCTTGTTTTATCTTTTCAGGCTGAGGCTCCATGAAGAAAAGGTTATTAAAGATAGACGGCACCATCTGAAAACCTACCCAAACTGCTTCGTTGCAAAAGAACTGATCGACTGGCTCATTGAACACAAGGAGGCCTCTGACCGAGAGACGGCAATAAAACTCATGCAGAAGTTGGCTGACCGGGGCATCATCCATCATGGTGAGTGAGGCGGAAGTGAAGACCACACCTTTTATATGAATGTACCCATTAGTAAATAAGAGGCAGGAGTAAATAAGACGCACGCTGGCATATGCAGAGGCAGAGAGGATCTAGAAATCAAGGCCATCCTTGGCTAAATAATGAGTTTGAGGTCGGTCTGGGTTATGTGAGACCCTATCTCTAAAAAAAACAAATGTTCAATATTAAACTAGTAAACACTTAGCTTCAAATTATCTCTTTAGTGCCTCCTCCCAATTACATCCTTCCTCCAAGAGGTACTTGGGTTATTTTCATATGCTTTTCTAGACAGTGTGCCATATGTGAGTCTCCTTATGGGTGCATGTTTACTCTTTGCAACTTGATCAGCATGCTCTGTGTTAAATTCACCGGTGTTGATAGTCTCTTTCTCTGAGATTAATTTGTTTAATGTTAGTAGGCAAACCAAGGGTTTTGCACATAGTAGCTCATGAGTATGTGTCACTGTATTTTGTTATCATGCATGCTCCCCAACATTGTTCATACCTGGCCCCACTTCACCCCTAACTGATTCTCACCCCTCTCGGAGTTAGTTGCCCTGTCTACCTTCCTATCACATGTCTTCATGGTCCTCTCTATTTTCCACGCCATTTAAGATCTATTCCCTGATCTCAAGATCCATATCCCTGCCGTTCACTTTGCTGTGTATGCATAGTGCTCTGGGTATGCTCTTACATGTGTGGTGTGCCATGTACAGGCCACTATAGCTTGCCCTATTCAGTTAAGGGACATTTTGTTCATATGTTTTGGCTGTCACTCTCTGCCTTAGTGACCATTCTCTTGCTGTGAAGAGACCCCATGACCAAGGCAACTTTAATATAAAGGAAAACATTTCAAGGGAGCTTGCTTACAGCCTTAGAGGGTTTATCTCTGACCATAATGGCTAGAAGTGGACAGACCTGGTGCTAGAGCAGTGGCTAAGAGCTTTATATCCTGGTCAGCAAGCAGAAGGCAGAGAGACGGATGCTGGGCTTCAGAAACCTAAACACCCACCCCCAGTGACACACCTCCTCCAGGGTTACATCTCCCAATCCTTCCTAAACAGTTCATCACCTGCAAATGTATAAGTCTATGGTGGCCATTATCGTTCAAACCACCACACTCTCCGTGGTTCAGTGACCATGATGAATATCTGTGTGCTGGCTAGTTTAATGTTTGGCTTTACACAAACTAGAGTCCCCTAGGAAGAGGGAACATCAATTAAGAAAATATTTCCATTAGGCCTGGGGTGCAATTTTTTTAAATTGATAATTGGTAGGAGCAGGCCCAGCTCACTGTGGGCAGCATCACCCCGGCTGGTGGTCTTGGGTGGTATCAAAAGGTAGGTGAGCAATCCACGAGGGGCAACCCAGTCAACCATGTTCCTGCCCTGACTTCCCTCAGGGAGGACCCGTTACCTGGAAGTGTAAGAGGTCATAATAAACCCTTTCTTCCCAAGTTGCTTTTGGTCATGGTGCTTTATCACAGCACCCAAGGTGGTGTGTCCTTTAAGTCTCAGCCTGGCCTACCCACTTGCATACTGGTATTCTTTTAAGCTGAGATACAATTCTTCTTATTTTTATTCAACTTCCACTCACTGTTTCTACTTACAAGTAATTCTTCAGGGAAACTTCCATTTTCTAAAGCTGGGGTCCCGAGGATTCCCCCACCACAGCACCACTGCATTTTTCTGGAACCTCTGCCAATTCCTAACATCGTTTTAGTTATATGCTGGCATTTCTCTTTAGATCACTTTTGGTTTTTTGGCGAAAGGGTCGTACCATGTAACTCCAGCTGGCCTCTAGCTAATGATTCTCTGTCTCTACCTCCTGAGCACAGGGATTATAGGTGTATGCCATCCCATCTAGTTATGTTTTTTTGTTTTTTTTTTTTTGTGGCCTTTGAGTGGCTCATGGCTGTTCCAGGGTCATGCTTGTAAAGACTTTGGGATAGAGGACAGTGAATTTTCTGAGCCTTTCAGTTCGAGGTGCTGGTGGTGCTAACGCTGAGCACTGCTTCCTACAACACACTGCGCTAAGCATGGTCCCATAGAGTAGATACATGTGTGGTCGAGAGTTCATCAATGCCAAGCAGTGGTGCCACGTGCCTTTAATCCCAGCACTTGGGGAGGCAGAGGCAGGCAGATCTCAGTGAGTTCGAAGCCACCCTGGTCTCTGGAGTCAGTTCCAGGACAGCCAAGGATACACAGAGAAACCTTGTCTCAAAAACAAAAAACAAAAAAAAAAAAAAAAGAAAGAAGAGAGAGTGCCTTAATGAGATGAATTTTAATCGTCTGTCTCTTGCCAGACTTTCATTTTCCTCTCCGTGTGTCGTTTTTCAGTGTGTGATGAGCACAAGGAATTCAAGGACGTGAAACTCTTCTACCGCTTCAGAAAGGACGATGGCACCTTCCCACTGGACAACGAGGTGAAGGCCTTCATGAGAGGGCAGAGGCTGTATGAAAAGTAGGTCCACCACCATCTTGACTTGGGAAAAGGAAGCGGGCTCTGTTAGTCTTTACTTTACTTGCTTAGTCATTTATTTTAATTTATTTCTGACCTTTAATTTCTGACCCCCCTGCTTCACCTGCTGGGCTTGCAGCTGTGCAGTCACTGTTCCTCGTTTTATGTGGTGCTGGGGATGGAACCCGGGGGCTTAACAATCAGCTGAGCTTCAGCAGCCCATCTGCCTGTCTCTTACTATGCCGACCTTAGCGTGGCTCTTCCATGTGGGTGGATTACATAACTGTTCCTTCTAATGGGAGAAAATTCTTTCACGGAGTTGCTTTTCTCGTTGCCAGAAATTAAAGTTGGTTTCGTAAGATTCTTAATTCTTTATCAAAAATCATATTTCCTATACCTAAGACAACTGCACAAAACTCCAGAAGTGAAAACAGAAGGGCACTGTTTGCCACCCAGTGACACCCGTGACCCTTTCCTTATTTGATAGATGTGGCTGTTGCAGAATCTGAAGTGTCAGCCTTGTGTGCACAGAGGCAAGATTAGGGTCGTGTCAGGTGATCAGTGCTGAGAGCACTTCATGGAGCAGGATCTGGGAGGACCATTTTTCAGCTTTCTGGAAGCTGAACTATATCATACATGGCTCAGGAATACTCAGTTGGCAGGTCTAGAATCTCCCAAGAGCTAGGTCTCAGAGCTAGTCTGCTTTTCTCTGGCCTCTAGCTTTTCCATCCATCTTTACTTTTATCCAGAGCAACATTTTGAGAAAGGAGCTCAAAATCATTGCCATTCTTTAATTCTGGCTGCCCAACAAGGCTCTGGACTTTCTGAAAATTTCTGCTTGTTACATGAAAGATACACAAGGATCACCTGCTCTACAGTGGCCAGTTGTAGGGGTTACAGTGAGGGTCTAGGAAGTCGGACAAAGGATGGAGAGGATTAAGAGCTAAGATTTAATTTTAGCTGTGAATACAGGGCTTTTGCAAATGCTTTGTGTACTCCACCACTGACCTCTACTCCAGCCTTCTTCTTATCTCTTCCACCCTAGCCCACCTGTGTCTTGCCAATTATATGGTGACTATTTGACCAGAATTATGAATAGGGACCAGGGATGTATCTCAGATGTACATACTTGCCTAGCATGTGTAAGACCCAGAAGGAGGAGGAAGGAGAGAGGGGGAGATTGTGGCTTTGTTTGTTGTTGTTGTTTGTTTGCTTTTGATTTTTGTGAGTTGATCAATATTACAGGATTCTCTGTGTCTGCCATTTACTTTCTAGTCATTAATACTCACTGTCTCAAATTCCAGGTAAACTTATTTCTCCAAATTTCTGAAATTGGCACTAGGAAAAAGAAATTTAACATGTATTTAACCTTAAGTGACCTGGTTACAATCTCATAAACCTTGGCCTCTGCTTTTGGTTGTTGGGTGTTTGGAAAAACATGCTTGAGACATTTCAAATGGATTCTTCCATTGTATGCGTTTCCATGTTTTATGGGTGATCTTTTGATGAATTTCAGCACGTTTGTTATTATATGTTTATATAATTTTATAGCATGAAAAGTGAATAGTTGGTTATACATTCCAATACAGTATATTATTATTATTATTATTATTATTATTATTAAAATTAAAGGGATTCTTTTCCTAGAGTATTTTTTTTCACAACACTTCTTTAGGGTATTTTTACATGACGTTTACACATGACGTTCTTACAAGATATGTGTTTCTTTCATTATTCTCTATTTAAGATAATAATAGTAGGTGTTTATTGATTGCAAAATATTTATCAGAGAGCCTGACTAATAGAGGTTATGAATTATTACAGCATGGCTGATTTAGATGTTATGATTGTCCCTGTTCTGTTGTAGGGTAATGTGGCAGGCAGGGAAAGTTTCTTGTCCAAGGTCACCTAATAATTCACATATTCAACTTGAATCCAGAAACTCAAACCCTGTCATTGTTGTTACTCAATTAGCAACAATTTATTTCCCTTTATAGAAGTTAAGTAAATTAAATAAATATTTATTCCAGAATACATCTTACTGTAAAATATGCCAGGTGATTTGTAAGTTCTCAAGGTACAGAATTTTCTGTAAATTTTACTGAAAGTGTATGAAGGATCTACAGACAGACTTAAGCATGAGATCCTACTTTTGTGACAGCTTCCCTGGTATTCTGTAGACCTGATATGGATCTGACCTGAATGCCTCCTTCCTGAAGATTGGCTTTCATGGTACCAGAAGGTACCATGCAAGCTTCCAAAGGAGGGAAGCAACCAACAGTCCTACCCAACAGTGATGCTTGTGAACCACATTAGCAACTACCATGGCACCATAACCTAAGAGTGTAGTAGTGGCATGCATACCTAGAAGTAACCAATAGCTCTCTAATTGTACTCACAAGAGAGAAACATTGCCTGATGTTAGAAAACTACTGAGTGCTAGTGAAGTCATGGTTATTGGAGGAAAATCTACAACCACTAATTTACTAAGCCAGCATAATTCCTAACAACAATCTATAAACATCTGTCCTTATACCCACAGGTAAGTGTAGCTCTCACTCCTCATCAGCAAAATTTTTCTTTGCAACAAATGGATACCACTACAGAAAACCACAACCAATCAAAATGCAGAGTTGTGAAACCCAGTCTCAATGGGATAGCTCCAAAATGCTCTACACCAATGGCTCAAGGAACATTGCAGAAGAGGGGGCAAAATGATTGTAAGAGCCAGAGGATCAGGGAGTTTGCTGTGCAATTGTATTTCCTAGTAATGTCAGAAGCTATGCTCATAAAGTTTCACCAACATGGCAGCCCAAATATGAGCTGAACAAGAATGACACCAACGAACATGCCCAAGTGGATGGGTAAAGCTCATGAGGCCTCAACCCCACATAAAGAACTGTAATCACTGAGGAAACCTGGCAGTGAGAGAGGTGGTCCTCCCTAGGGAAAAGCACACCAATTGGTTGTCCAGTTCCAAATAATCAGCCCTGAAAACATACATATGAGTTACATTGTATAAACTGAGCAGGTTAAAGTTAGAAATATGTCCATATACAAAATATACATATATTGCCTGTGTTAACAATTAATGAAAGAAGAGGCCATGAATTCAAAGGAGAGTGGAAAGTAGCATATGGGAGAATTTAGTGAGAGGAAAGGAAGGGGAGAAATGCAATATTTTAATCTTACCTAACCTAGTTGTTCAAGAGCATGCTGTTAGTTAACCTTGATTTCATCTTCAAATTTAGGGATGATTTTTTTCCCTCAATTGTAATTTCACCTGATTTAATGTAGAGTTAAATCCCTTCCATGTCTAGTGAATAGTTCTTTTGTTGTTAATTTATCCAAAGGACCTTGATTTTCTCAGCAGTAAGAACTCTCTCTCCAGCCACCAGCCTGTTTATCTAGCTCAAGGGTTTTTAGACATGATTGAAGAAGTGGAAAGGATGAATGCCCTTAGATCTGTGGTTTCCCACTGCTTTTCTTTTTTTCCATTTTCTCTTCTATATGACTGAAGAGGAACCAAAGGGAGAAACCATCTCCATTGGGGCAGGGTCCTTCTGTGTTTTATCTTCTCCACCATGTGGCCCATGATGGCTCTTTTGTTCTTTCGCAGTGCCTGGCACAGTAAATATTGTTGAATGAACAAAGGACTTTCCATGCTGTGTTGCTGTGGGCATCTGAGCTTCTGGCATGAGAGAGCTGCTTAATGGCAAGCAACAATAGCAGGCCTGTTCACCTTGTCTGGCCTCTAGAGCTCACAAAGCATCTTACACATCGTTTATTTGACTTTCCTTACAACTTTCAGTGATATACCCAGCAGGCATAATCAATTACACTATAAAACTAGGGACGTGAGATATAGAGAGACTTAAATGGTTGATACAGACCCTCAGATAAGGAGCTAGAGATGTTTCTTAAACACTTTTGGGCTGGAGAAATGGCACAGCAGTTAGAAGTACTTGCTGTTCTTCCAGAGGACCCGAATTTGGTTCTTAGCACCCTTATCAAGTGGCTCAAAGCTGCCTGTAATTTTAGTTTCAGGGGACAAGATGCCATCTTTCTGTCTCCTCTGGCACCTGCATGAACATGGCACTTGCTACACACACACACACACACACACACACACACACACACACACACACACA